AATTTGCACAAATGCCGAGGAGTCGGGTACATGAGTGTGCAGTCTTGCGATCCTCAAGGCACTAATGATTCGGTCGAATTCGCAGTGGCACCTTCTGATTTTGAGTTTTATCTTTCTAGCCCGATAAAATCGTTAATAAAACTAGGTGAATCTCGATCTCATACAGCCGTTGCTATTTCTTAATCAAGACATCTTCCGAATATTGCCAATCGTTCCGTTACGCTGTAGGATGTCAGGAGTCAGCTCTCCACAAGTGCGCTGTAAGATGACTCCTGTAGATTTTGGTGAAGCTTTTTCTTTAATTTCTTTGACGCTGGTGTCTTGACCAGCTTGCTACTAATCTGTTTCTGCTCCGAGTCCATTCATCTAAACCGTTGTTGACTCAGAGACTTCTCGCTGCTCATTTACTGTTTCGTGAAGTTATGAAATAGCATCGTGACTCATGTTTCAGGATATCGCACACACGGGTTTCAGTCGCTAAATGTCAGGTATTATTGGATAAGCGCCCCTGTAAAACGATCTGCTTTTAAAAGGTTCCAGTTTAAAGTTAATTTAGTGTGTAGATACGCAATATGCCCCAAATGTGACGCTCATCTTAGCACTAACATTTCTTAACTACCTACCGCGTCTCCGCTGCTAATTTTCCCTGCGGAATCACTGAGACTTGACTCATCAACATTATCAGCAGCAGTACATCAGCCATTTGAACTGATGCTTCGCTACCACAACCACAACGACCTGTGGAACGAAGAATAATAAGGACAGGAGGGAAACACTAATGCCCTAAGCTAACATTCAAGATCAAGGCGCCTACACCTTAGCAACAACATGAGATCACAAACAGCTGACGAGCATGCAAAGCTAACGCGCCATCGGCGAGATAGCTTCCTTTCGGCTTTCACTGCCCGCGTCATACTCAGGTACTACCTCGCAGATAACTCAGCACCAAACTCACTATTAACAAACAGTCGGACTACGAGAAGATAGCAGTCGCGCCACTGGTGCCGACTGCGAGCCATGTTCTGTAACGCCACGAGCCAAACACAAGACTGGTCCCGTGAACTCCGGCCTGAAAGGCAAGACGGATCAAGGGCACCCAGTTTGGTCGTCAGTGACTTCATTTCCCGCTGCCAAATCAGCTTTTGTCCACCTCGAAACTTGCGCCATTCTACATTTGGCAGACAAAATTAGGTCCTATTCGGTAAGCGGTGACCGGTCATACGTAATACGTGCCTAAGCCACGCAACTTATTCAATGTTACCAGGTGCTTTAAGAAACTAGGTGGAATATCACTGCTCAGCATAGCCCTACCCACATTATCGTTGCTGGCGCGCTGGTCCCACTCAACACCAACAGTGATCCGCAAACAACGATAATCAAAGATATAAAGGGGCCTCAGATCCACAGAACAAAGGGGTTAATTTTCACTCCCGTGGAGTAAGACAGTGCTCACTGGTTTTGCAAACTCGGTCTTTCAGACGGAAGGGAGACCCTTCTGTTGACAAAAAAATATCGCAGATTCAGATAGCCAGTTTTGGCTTTTGAAACACGGAAACTCACCTTAGTTGCTATGCGCCTATTGTTGCTGATGCAGCTACCAAGGTAAGTAAAGTGGATCAACCACTTCGCTATCCAGAGTCAAGGAATCATCAAGTGACTGAGGCAACACTTCGCACTTTGAGGGTGCTAAGCGGATACCAAATAATCAGGGATTGTGCTGCCCTAACATAATCAAGATCAACTAGCCTTTTATCAGGCAGCACTTCAACGCCAGCATCGTGATGCTCCGCAAGGGAACACTCCATGATGCAGTCCACGACGAAATTAAACAAAAATGGTGAAATTGGACAACCCACACGATCGCGACATGTCACCGCAGACTCTGACGCAGCCTGTCGTCTTCGGGTGTAGAGCACGTCAAATATTCACATATTTCATGGAAACACCTTCCCGTATTTCGAGCAGAATGCATTGATCGACTGAGTCGAACGCAGTCTTGAAGTCCAGGAACACAGCTATTGTTGATCTGAGGTACAAAGTGAGCAAATGTCCATGTAACCTCGTCCTGGGCGGGAATCTGGCTGCTCTTCCCCAATCTGGGATACTCGTTTCGCAGTCTGTGCGATCGCCCCCCTTGTATATTACCACTATTTACTCACCTCAGTTAGCCAAGGTGGTCTCTTCTTTCTAGGCATGTTCGGACAGGAAGGCAGAGGATCTCACTTCCATCCTTAAATCGCGCAGATAGGAGGGAATCCGGGCCAGCAGCACGGAAACGATTGATGGCTGTGATCGCGTTTCGAACCTCAGCCTCCGATGGAGCCTCTAAACTAACAGCCCATCGCTCATCTTGCATGACCTGAGTAGGAAGAGGTCCGGAGGCAGGGATCAACCGAATTGATCTCGAAAATGTTTCGCCCAACGAGCCATACGGCGCTCCTTATTGTGAATCATAGTATCCGCGCCGTCTCTGATGTCTCACGGACGCCTGGTTTCCCGTTACCAGGGGTGCGAATCAGCTTGGAAGAACTTGCGATAATTAGCTACTGCTCCCGCCTCCTCTATTTCTCGAGCTAGACTGGTCCACCAGACTTTCTTCACAGCGCGCAGGCTCCGCTTTGGTTCGTGCTAAATAGTCCTGAGCATATTGTATTCAAATCAAGCCAGGAGGTTTCTTCTGGATTCCACTGGCTCACTGACCTCTCGGATTTATATATTGGTTGGCACGTTGACGATTGAAAGTACCACAAGCGGATGCTCCTGCGTCGAGCATGGCGCCTGAGATCTTATTGCACTGTAGCTCAGTGTCAGTAGGACAAGAGATCGAAAATCTGATACCGTGTGTATCCTGGTAGATTTGCTTAGCTGAGAGCTGAGATAATTTCTCAGTTGCCAATTGAGGGAGACGCTTAGTGCGCTTCCTGCTCTAGTTCATGGAAAACGGTATGATCGGAGTCAAAGCAAGTAATGCAGAACGAGCGACAGTCTGGTGCTCCGCGCACAGTTGCAACGGACGCTCGCGGCTGTCCATCTGTACGGAGTTAAGCCCACAATCACCACGGCTGAGCTACTGAAGAGCCCAAGCGACCTATTTGTGCATTCATATCCTCATACGTACTATGAATTGCTGGCACTGCGCAGCAGCATGTTCAGTTCGTGGTAGAATTTGTCTACCTATACCATTCAACTCCCCCTACTACTCTTCTGTAAACAAACAGCGTCTTGTATTACTTCGTGAACCAACGTTACTTGATGTCGTCAAATGTGATGCGGATACGCAACACACGTCAATACCCAGGGTGTTTAACATGCGTACGAATGCAGCCTGTTGACCTATTTGACTTCGAGTGCGTACGTTAAACACCGCCATGGAAATGGGGCAGCGTGGGTTTATAATGGACTGTTCCTGATAGTCGTCTAGTGAGTGCTGCGGGAAGGTACTAGCATATGATTCGACTCCAGTGGTATTACTGCTGCTGTCTATTAGGCTGGGAATTACGGAAGATTAGTAACTGGGTATAAGATGGGAGTAAGAGAAACAGGTGAAAGAGAAAGAAGAGGCGCCAGTAGTAGCATGGTTTCGCTTATCCGCCCTGTTGTATGCAGCAGATAAGGGACCCTTGGTAATCCTCGCGACGGCCGATGCACCACGTAGTTAGAAGAAATAGTCATAGGCTGAACTGTTGTCTGGGCGCCCAAACCTAGACAGGAGGACGACTAGGTTCTGCAATTAAAGCCTTCGGGTCTTAAGCCTGTCTGCAAGGCAGCAGGGAGGTGGCAGTGACTTAATTCTATGGAAATGGGCGCCATTCATACCCCCAACCTGGAGGACCGGTACTGTGTTTCTCTGATCTCGAGCCTTTGACCTACCTGGCAGGAGTGGTTTTGGGGGCGCCCTGGGGGACCACGCTGTATAGCTCAATGGGTCATAGATACGCAAACCGTCGCACACGTTAAGGTTCAAGCTGGTTACGACTTGATTCCCTTATGCTCTGTTAGATAGCACATGTCAGAGCGTTGCTTCGGACTTTTGCGCAGCATCATAAAATAAACGATACACTAAGCTTATCTTTAGTCAGTCGTTTCGTTTCATTATGACAGGCTTTAATGAGGTAGGACAAAAGCCGCTTCCAACATTAGCGCACTGCATCAGAGCTGCTTCACCTCCTCATCTTTGCTCAACTTTGTGATGCAGTTTTATCACATACTGATTTAAATCTGAGTACACTTGCGGGTTTTCTCCTTAAATCGTCTCCTGGCACACCGCTTCAATCTTTCCTTCTTCAACTAACTGAGTGGTTCGTCACGTCATTGAATGCTGCCCACGTTGCGGTGCACAGCTGTTGTGGTTTTTTGCCCTTTCGAAACATACGTGATCAAGGACTACGGTAGGCTTATACTCTGCCAACCTTGGATGCAATGCATAACCCTGCGTTTTAGCTAGTTTACGTACCATGGAGTTTGCATCAGCTGTTTTACTTACCCGTTCCTCCTTCCACGAATGCTTAATGCACGCTTCACAACCTGGTAAAGAAAACAAGTGAAATGTTGAAGTGCTCCAGTTGACTCCGCATCCTCCGAAATCGCATCAGGAACCAGCTGCGATCCTCGCATACTCATGAAGATGTCGTTTCCGATCACCGCCTGATTACGAGAATTCCCTGGTTTCTTGCTCGGCATTACAAACAAGCGAAGCAAATTGACTGCCAAACCGCAGACATACTGCTGCGTTTAATCTTTCTAGATGGGTTTTTAAGGATTGGTCACAATATGCTCGCTGCCAGTATGTTCTTGTATTCAGATCGCTTTGCATACATATTTTTTGCTCGTGAGTTTCTTTGTTGTTTGTGATTTAAAGCAACTTGTGCATCTAAAGCTTGGCTGATTGAGTCATGTGGCCATATACCAGCGCGTAAGTGCCTGAGCCCACTATTTAGCACTATGGCAGTTCTCTCTTGTACTGCAGTTCATTAAACGGCTTGAAATTCTTCTATTTTTAGCGCCGAATTTTTGCCTTCCGTCAGACGTTTCGCTGTTCCCGAACGCCGTGTTCCACGATCTCCCGGTGGACCAGAATCAGGCCCCCGCCACTCAGAGCCACGAGCTTTCTCCGTCAATGCTCGTCGTCGCTCGCAAGATGCGTATTATACTGAACGTTCTCGACCCATCATTTCGCCTCGAAATGTCATTGCTAGACGTTCGGAACCCGTGCGACCTATCCGCCTCCGTGATTCGCCATTTGTTTCTCCGTTGGAAAGTCGGCGCTACTACCAGCCCACCCCTAGCTCAGTGGAGCAAGCACCAAGATATGCGAGAAACGAAAGGTCTTCTGAAGGTTCCCGTGTTCTCTCACGTACAGCAGATTATTCTCGTCCCAGAGCTGCTTCTCGGTCAGCTGATCGTCGCAACGTAGCGTACGTTTTACTTAATGAAAGCAATGATTTTACACTGTCTCAGTAATTTGCGTATGCTATCTACTATCAAGTTTGTCAGAACCTAACCGCTTATTTGTTGTAGTGTCGGTCTCATCTCATTCTTTGTCGCTTATTCACAACCTTTTTTGATTTGAATCTGAGATTAGACACCTACAGCCAGTTAGCGACGCAGTTCTGTATGGTAGGCTGTAGTACCGTAGCGGTATTGGCAAAACCTCCTCCGCGTAGTTCTTGCCGCCATACGTCCGTCTTACCCTCAGAAAACGATTTCAGTTAAGCTGTTAACAAACTACCGATTATTGCATAACTACCATTCTGTAACTTACAATTCGCGAGCTTTTGACTGCAATCCTACTTTGATTCCACTTTAACTTCCATCTCGGACGTTTGTACCTCATTCCCTGTCGATCCAGTTGGGCAGCGTTGGCTGCTCGATAACCTTCACACAGGGTAAATAGAATCCCGGTTCTTCGGTGGTTCGATTTATCATGCCATCTTCGTCTGCGGATACACTCATTTCTGGTTTCTGCACTGCCATTTGCCATTCGATTGGTGATACAGTTTGTCAAACCATGCAATTCATTTTATCTACCGTTGCCACTGAATTCCATTGGTTAACTGCCGTATGATTTTTGTCTGCCCTCTAAGTTGCCGTTTCTTGCTCACTTACTGTTGCCATCGGTATTATGATCGTGGTTCTTGCATTGCCGAAGGTAAGCATGAGGTCCGCAGCTTTTCGGTCTACGAATTTGTCGTTTCACCTGTTAAGCACCCAAGTGCGGCGGTTCCGGTTTCCTTGACTTACTTTACTGCGGCTGGCTCCTGAGACAGGATGAGCCGGCTTCATGTATGCCGTGAATTGCAGCTGCCCAAGCGTGGCAATCGGGGGCAAGCTTCACGCAAATTCTGATCCAATGATTTCTCCAGTGACAAGCACCATGCATAACGTGGAGTCCCATAAGATCAACATCCGTTTTTACTGCAGCTAGCTAGCTTTTCAATTGTCCACTACGGCGACGACTCCAACCCTGGCACTGCGAGGGTGAAACCACGGCCCTAGTGAAGTCAGTGTCTGGTTTGCGGAGGAAGTTATCGAACAACAAGTCTGTGGCATTGGGTGAACGCTGCGAGCTTCGGAACACCGTTACAACTCTTACGGATTTCGTCATTGGTGATACGCTCACGCCACTGCGTTTTCAAGATAAGCCTTAGACACTAACGGTCGAAGACTTTGCTTCCGGGTGTCGTCGGATCGCCGCGGCCATTATTAGCAAACATCGAGTAAAATGGCACAAATGATTGGTGAGAATACTCGAATTTCGTTATCGGACTAATTTCCGTCTTTCGCCACAACGTGTTTCTCAGTTGTAGGAATGCTGTTCTAAAGCTCTCAATACGATTTCGGATTTGGGATGTAGCCTGATCATTAGGAAGAATAGTGGACCCAATGTACTTGAGTTCAGGAACAGACTCGATGAGTTTTCTAGGTAAAGAGAGCGAAGGGGTGGACTGGGTGGTTGACGATGAGAAGTACTTCGTCTTGCGGATGTTAATTTCGAAGTTGATTGGTCAACCCTATTTAGCAGTCTGTATAGGATCTTCCGCAAACGTAGCGATATCGTCAGCAAATTCTAGGTCTGACAGCCAGAAGTCAGGGTTCGTGTTTCGTACATGTCAATTCAAAGCCATTTTGGCACATGGTGCATGAAATGTTACCACAAAAGTAAGCCAGTGTTGACGAGCATCGGAAAGAATCGGGTGGGGACGCTCACAAGCAGTTAACGGGAAGTAAATCCAAAAGCGTCGTACTATCAACTACCTTGTGTTCGTCGCAACGAGACTGGACTTAAACGTGTGTGACGGTTTGCGTATCTCTGACCCATTGAGTTATACAGCGTGGTGCCCCCGGGCGCCCTGAAAACCACTCCTACCAGGTTGGTCAAAGATTCGAGATCAGAGAAACCCAGTCCTGGTCCTCCAGGTTGGGGGTATGGATGGAGGATGGACAAAACAGTGTTCATGGGAATAGAGAGCAACAGAACTATCGCCGAGAGCGTCCGACCACGATTAACTTTGACGTTAGCTCCTACATGCTCCTGGACCAAGTCCTACATCGCCCACCTTACTTTCGCTTCCAGCCGACTGCGCGCGCGAAGAGAGCACGGCTTTTGAGACAAAGGCTCTGATTTAGGATCCTGATCGTCCTCTTGTTTAGGTTTGGGCTTCCGGGCAGTAGCTCAGCCCACCTACACCCATGACTATTTCTTCTAACCACATCGTGCGTCGGCCGTCGTGAGGATTACCAAGGGTCCCTTATCTGCTGCATACAACAGGGCGGATAAGCGAAACCATGCTACTACTGGCGCCTCTTCTTTCTCTTTCACCTGTTTCTCTTACTCCCATCTCATACCCAGTTACTAATCTTCCGTAATTCCCAGCCTAATAGACAGCAGCAGTAATACCACTGGAGTCGAATCATATGCTAGTACCTTCCCGCAGCACTCACTAGACGACTATCAGGAACAGTCCATTATAAACCCACGCTGCCCCATTTCCATGGCGGTGTTTAACGTACGCACTTTAAGTTAAATAGGTCAACAGGCTGCATTCGTACGCATGTTAAACAACCTGGGTATTGACGTGTGTTACGTATCCTCACCTAGGGTAGATAACCCGTTTGACGAGGCTGTGGAATCCAGAAGAAACTTGGCTTGATTTGAAAACAATATTAAGCACGAGCCAACGCAGAGCCTGCGCGCTGTGAAGAGAGTCTGGTGGACCAGTCTAGCTCGAGAAATAGAGGAGGCGGGAGCAGTTGCTAATTATCGGAAGCTCTTCCAAGCTGATTCGCACCCCTGGTAACGGGAAACCAGGCGTCCGTGAGACATCAGAGACGGCGCGGATACTATGATTCACAATAAGGAGCGCCGTATGGCTCGTTGGGCGAAACATTTTCGAGATCAATTCGGTTGATCCCTGCCTCCGGACCTCTTCCTACTCAGGTAATGCAAGATGAGCGATGGGCTGTTAGTTTAGAGGCTCCATCGGAGGCTGAGGTTCGAAACGCGATCACAGCCATCAATCGTTTCCGTGCTGCTGGCCCGGATTCCCTCCTATCTGCGCTATTTAAGGATGGAAGTGAGATCCTCTGCTAACTGAGGTGAGTAAATAGTGGTAATATACAAGAGGGGCAATCGCACAGACTGCGAAACGAGTATCCCAGATTGGGGAAGAGCAGCCAGATTCCCGCCCAGGACGATGTTGCGTGGACATTTGTTCACTTTGTACCTCAGATCAACAATAGCTGTGTTCCTGGACTTCAAGACTGCGTTCGACTCAGTCGATCAATGCATTCTGCTCGAAATACGGGAAGGTGTTTTCATGAAATAAGTGAATATTTGACGTGCTCTACACCCGAAGACGACAGGCTGCGTCAGAGTCTGCGGTGACATGTCGCGATCGTGTGGGTTGTCCAATTTCACCATTTTTGTTTAATTTCGTCGTGGACTGCATCATGGAGTGTTCCCTTGCGGAGCATCACGATGCTGGCGTTGAAGTGCTGCCTGATAAAAGGCTAGTTGATCTTGATTATGTTAGGGCAGCACAATCCCTGAATAGTCTCTCTAATGTGGCCCCATTATATGGTACCCGCTTAGCACCCTCAAAGTGCGGATTGTTGCGTCAGTCATTTGATGATTCCTTGACTCTGGATATCGAATTGGTTGATCCACTTTACTTACCTTGTTAGCTGCATCAGTAACAATAGGCGCATAGCAACTAAGGTGAGTTTTCGTGTTGCATTGATATTTCAGCTAGTTCCTTAAAACAGCTGATAACATTGGATAAGTGCGTTGTCTTAGGCACGTACTACGTATGGCTGTATCTACCACTGATATGGCCAGTTCAGGACCCCAATCAACAAATTTATCTGTGTTTTCTACTTAAGTTTCTTTGTTATTCAAGCACCATAATGTATTTTGTTGGTATCTCTTTGGGCGATAGATGTTAAGTGCTATGTAAAACCCACCGTGAGCAAATATTCTGAGATTCGGAATGCGTTCCGATTGCACTGTTATCCGGACTATAAATTCAGACGTTGCAGCGTAGACAATAGCCCATCGTTCAGTCGTTGTTTTGGGCCATCATCATTGCATTAATCTTGTTCACTAAAACCCTTTTGTTATTATGTAGCTTCTTTGCTTAGATTATCATTGATGGAGAGAGAATGGGAGCTCGATGATTAAATAAGTTGGTTTATACATCGAGCTCCCATTCTCTCTCCATCAATGATAATCTAAGCAAAGAAGCTACATAATAACAAAAGGGTTTTAGTGAACAAGATTAATGCAATGATGATGGCCCAAAACAACGACTGAACGATGGGCTATTGTCTACGCTGCAACGTCTGAATTTATAGTCCGGATAACAGTGCAATCGGAACGCATTCCGAATCTCAGAATATTTGCTCACGGTGGGTTTTACATAGCACTTAACATCTACCGCTCAAAGAGATACCAACAAAATACATTATGGTGCTTGAATAACAAAGAAACTTAAGTAGAAAACACAGATAAATTTGTTGATTGGGGTCCTGAACTGGCCATATCAGTGGTAGATACAGCCATACGTAGTACGTGCCTAAGACAACGCACTTATCCAATGTTATCAGCTGTTTTAAGGAACTAGCTGAAATATCAATGCAACACGAAAACTCACCTTAGTTGCTATGCGCCTATTGTTACTGATGCAGCTAACAAGGTAAGTAAAGTGGATCAACCAATTCGATATCCAGAGTCAAGGAATCATCAAATGACTGACGCAACAATCCGCACTTTGAGGGTGCTAAGCGGATACCATATAATGGGGCCACATTAGAGAGACTATTCAGGGATTGTGCTGCCCTAACATAATCAAGATCAACTAGCCTTTTATCAGGCAACACTTCAACGCCAGCATCGTGATGCTCCGCAAGGGAACACTCCATGATGCAGTCCACGACGAAATTAAACAAAAATGGTGAAATTGGACAACCCACACGATCGCGACATGTCACCGCAGACTCTGACGCAGCCTGTCGTCTTCGGGTGTAGAGCACGTCAAATATTCACATATTTCATGAAAACACCTTCCCGTATTTCGAGCAGAATGCATTGATCGACTGAGTCGAACGCAGTCTTGAAGTCCAGGAACACAGCTATTGTTGATCTGAGGTACAAAGTGAACAAATGTCCACGCAACATCGTCCTGGGCGGGAATCTGGCTGCTCTTCCCCAATCTGGGATACTCGTTTCGCAGTCTGTGCGATTGCCCCTCTTGTATATTACCACTATTTACTCACCTCAGTTAGCAGAGGATCTCACTTCCATCCTTAACTAGCGCAGATAGGAGGGAATCCGGGCTAGCAGCACGGAAACGATTGATGGCTGTGATCGCGTTTCGAACCTCAGCCTCCGATGGAGCCTCTAAACTAACAGCCCATCGCTCATCTTGCATTACCTGAGGATTTAACACACCCTATCGGTGTCATTGAACACCTTTCCATTGTATTATTATCCAGACTATGAATTCGATGTTTACAGCGTAGACACTTGATAGCCCATCCCTCCTTCCATGGCATTTGTGAGCCATCATGGCAGCGTATATCTTGTTCGCGAAAACCTCACTCTTACACGCAGCTTTTATGCTTTCGTTATCGTGCATTATGGGCCTGCCGATTCCCAAGCCATGCTGTTGTGGTAGCCGAGATGATAATTAGTATGAAGACCTCAGCTCGTGCCGCTATCTCCCATTTCCGCATTCTACGTCAGATCAATTCGCGCACATCACTGACTTACATTTTACACTATTAGGGTTGTCGAGCGCCTGATGTTACAACCAACCTATGTCTGGGAAGCTGATATTCCAGAAACAAAGAATGCATACGTTGCTTTATTGGGGACGTGGAGCCAACGACTCGGTGCATTTATGGCAGCGATGCTACAATCAATTGGTGGCAGTTTGATACACTAGGTCCAAGTGGGCATCCGCGTTCACCTGGCTTGACAGCATCTGCAGCAAACCCAAGGGGCAATTTTACCTTTCGTTTTGTCTATGCGCGCCGATCGATCACAACAAGCGTGAAAACATGGGCCCTTCCGACAACCCACATCGATACGACTAAGAGCACGAAAGCTGAGACCGTCATGGGTAGCATGAATGTCTAGTGCCTCAATGAGCCGACTCGGCTTCGGAGTTGTTGCCTGTCGATCTAATAACAGCGAGCAACTTATTCAATGACAAAACTACCTTGTAGTACAAACCTATGCATCAGGTCACCTGGTTTGCGCCAAACAAAGCGACGCATTTGACGTATTTCGGCCTACCCGTTATTAACTGCAAATCGTAGGCCGGTGGCAGGTCGAGAGGATTGAGCGCCTGCCCTGTAATCTGGAGGTCACCAGTTCGAATCCACGTAGACGAGGGCGGCCGTGCAATGTACATAGCCTATGAGCGACAAGTGGTGGTCGTGTGGTGCCGGAGTACTGCTGATACCTGACCACATTGTGTTCGCCAACGAAGTACTCTTAACTGATCGGAAATACAAATTATTTTGTTCGACTTGTGTCAGACGCCGCACTGGAGCTTCTTTTGGCCAAATGAACTCAGCTCGCGATTTCTCTTCGAAATTGGTTCTGATCGGCCTTAGGTGATGTGCTTGCATTCGCTGAATTAGTGACTTGATTTGTACGAACTACTTGAATGAGAGTGTGGCGGTCTGCAATGTGACGAATGTGGTTGTTTGTGCCGTAATGGATAACTCAGCTAATGCAGAGGTGTAGGGCAGAGAAATGCTGCTCCGATTTTTTCTTGTCTTTCACTACTAATCCTTGGGATGGACGGCTGCGTTAGTTGAGCACTTGCACTTGGTGCTACCTCCGTTCCGGTAACGGTGTTTCAGATTTTCATCATCATCATGAATACACGTTAGCTGAGGTCGAGTAATACACCTAAGCTAATGTGCCGCTATTCAATATACTACAAAAATTCAAAAATCAAGTAGTATAATGCTAAATAACCTATTACCTTGCTATGAAATCGTGCTTGGAAGGGGAATCTATGGGGAAGGGGATGGACAAAGAAACACGCAGTACAAACGCCATTAGGGCCGACTCCTGGCCATGTAAACAAGTGTGTCTAACCAAACCTGTTCTTCGGACCTCTGCGGGTTGCGCCAGCCTTGACCCCGTTCTAAATCCTTATCACGTAGGATCAGTGCCATAGAGCACAGCAATCGTCTATGGAACACCCAGGTATGTTAGTGCTCGCGACACCTGTGTTTGTTGCTTCCTTCTATCTGAGATACTTTAGGACTTGGGGCTGCACTTTTTCATCGCTTATGTGTGGATGGTTTGTCCTCCTAATAGCAATGTTTTGTCGCACTGCCTTCTGCTTCATGTTGATCGTTTCTCCATCTTTTCCTGCTTTGCATGTACACCCTCTGCAACCTTTTTGTCATGACTTGCTGATTTAAACAGTTACGTATGATGTTCCGGCGTCTCTGTTCCTTTTGTGTTATTCCACTCTTTTGTGTTATCTTCAGTCGAATGTCTGCAAATATGTCCAATGGTACCAGACGGAGGACGCCACCTCAGGTCCCATCTTACAATCATTTTCGCGACCCTGTCTCGGAACCGTCTCCACCCCAAAGACGAGTGCCCTCTCGAAGCCACTCTTCGAAGGGCGTGCCAATGCAAGCCAGGCGCGAATACCGCGATGTAAGCCGCAGTCCTCCCAGGTCACGTAATGTCGCTTTGGTTCGCCCGTATCCCGATGTGTCTCCTCGTCGTCCATCGCGCAATGATCGAGATCGCAGTCCGATACACGGTGGAGGTTCGCGTCCAAGAGTTGTAGACTATGGACATCGATCTGGTATGTATTTTTAACGATTGCAATTAATCAAACGGTATACTGTTTATTCTTTTCTGCGTGTTTGGATTCTTGCATTTCAGGTGTTGACCGTTGATTGTTATCCTCGGTGTGGCTGCGCTTGCTCTGAATAGTACCAAGGTGCTTACCCGTCTATTACTCACCACATTTTGCCTATACTGACTCCAGGAGGCAGTTGATGGTTACTGGAGTGGACTGGGCTGCACGGTCCTTGTGGCCGTGCTAGGCTCAAAGAGTGGTTCCGTGCATTCAGTTTGGAGCGGGCTACAGCCCAGCCACCGCCTTGTGTACGTCTGGCACGCATGATTTCCCACTTAGGCATGAATGCTTCTTCTCTGTTTGTTGACTGGGTGTGGGCTGGTTCCGTTGAGTATTCATGGCTCCCATCCACATGCCTTTCGGTCTTATTCCTTCGGGTTTACACTGAATATGAGGTATGTGGATGAGTCTAAGGGTGGCATCGCAAGTCACCCTTGGTCCCCCTATAGACGCAGGCGTCCTCTGGCTGTCCTATGGAAGCCATAGTGACAAGCAAATCCGGAACCGGATGCCGCCAACCAATTAATCAGCGCATTTTTATTCCGTTCACCTTGACTCACCACTTTTTATGCTTTTTCACGCGTTTTCCCCCAAGTTATTGTGGCAGTCTTCGATGTCTCTTTTTCAGTTGGCACAGGCATTTTCGTTGAATGGCGCATAGTTTATCAGGAAATTTCTCTTCTTAGATCAAACATACAGTACTTGTTGCTTTAGCGGAATAACGGCCAAACTTGTGATTGTTACACCGTGTCTCACTTGCTCGCATGTATTCACCCATAGCCGTTCATCAGGTCATTAAATTATATTACTGCTACTACTACCATGCATGGAAACCCGCACTCGCTTATGCTATGTCACTTGGATCCTGATGAGCTCGACTGTCGAACGTTAACCATGAAGCACCAAGTTAGTGTAATTTCTGCAGCCATGGACTGTTCATGTTGGCGTCTTTTGCAACATCGTGTCTTTAGCTCTGCTGTGTGTCGTACCGTCTACACCAGGCAAATAAAACTAGTGGCCTTCTCCAGTCACGTGCTCTCTGTATACGAGGTCACTAAACTGCAATGTGATTCAAACTGGATAAATGTTCTTCGTTCAAAGAAACTGTACATGGTTGTTTCAAACAGGGTTTTTACACTTGAAAAATACCGCCTTTCCCTCAATTTCAAGAGCATAAGGTAAACACGATTGTAACTGCGATTCAATGCAGTGCAATAGCTGAGGTGTTTCTCATCGCTAGCCAACGTGCACACTTATGATGATAGTGATACTACGATTCCAGCTACTTAGCAGTTGGTATCTCTTGATCATAACTTTCCCTGTTGGGTTACGTTAAACTACACACACCGCACACATTGTGTGTGTTTCAACTGTTCAACGTCATGTGATTGATTACCCGCACGCAAACTGGTAACACTTTCATTCAACCGCACAAGAATGGTCTCCACTGTGATTAAGGTGATTATCTTTCTTATGTGAACGGTCGTTTTTTCTCATGAAATCAACAAAAGCTTCTCAGCTAACAGGACTGCCGGATCAGCACTTGTTGTCTCAGATCAAAGTTCCAACTGCAGCCCTATTTTAACCAGAAGTAACAACAAATCTTATTACAATGGTATCAAGCCTATGACTGCACAAACCAAGCAATTGAACAATCCTGACGATTTCTTACGCTTTCTTATGCAAATCTACGCTAATGTTTGAAATTTCGTTTTGTAAAACAGTTCACTTCATTTGCGCGTACGTTTTGCTTTGGTGTAGCCAGATTAGCAATTGTGGTGCCCTCGGTAGCCGCATGGGTTACATGTCTGGCTGCCATAAACTATGCATCTATTTATCTCTTCTTTCAGAGCCACAAATGAACTGGAATGCCTGGAGGGGCGATTTCACGGATATGCCCGCCCCTTCTGGACACACTTGGAAACCAACGGGGCACTCAATGCTTTCCAACTACGGTAGCCGGGACTCCGGCCGACGCTATTAATGCCTCCTACTTTGTCTCCGCATTAAAATTTTCGGCAATACTTTGTACATTCTCGTTCTTTTAATGAGCTCCGTAATACATTCTTAATCGTGCACCGACTGTCCTTGATCCAGTGGTTCTTTGTATCGTTGCGTCATTTGCACCCATTTAGTCATCATCTTGGCATGTTGAGCAGTACAGCTTGAATCGTTTATCTCATAAGTGGCGGGAGCATCAGCACACAATGAATCTGAGAGAGTCTTCTGATCTCATGCGACAATATATTTTTCGTTCCACACTCTCAGGATTGCCTGCGCTCAACATTGGCCTAAAGCATTTTAGCACTGGTGAATCTTTTGCCGAATAACTAGGTGATAAGCCGAAGTAGTAAAAACTTGACGACGGTTCGCATTATGGACGTTTTCCTTGTGACAGGTGCTTCCCTGCGCACATGCTTCCGGTCTTTATTCTTGATAATCTGGAAGTATACTTAGTCGGACAATCAGGAAGAGACTTCTCTTTAGGCGCCTATACTATTACGTGGCATAACAGTCGGTGGGGCAAGTATGCGACCATCTCTAACTTGAGTTGCTTCTCGTATTGAACCGTTCGTTGTCTATCGCATATCGAGATTACAACCTGTTAAGTGAACCCGCTCCTAGTAACTTTAAGTCTGGTTCCACGTGGGTAATTTCGATGGAAGCTTGGATCAAACCAGCTTGGCTAGAAGCTAGCCAGTGACAACACTCGATTTTGTAGCCTACCAGCAATTGCGATTTTGCTGCATCTGATGGCTCAGAATCTTCATGTCATTTCCTCGGACTATGAAATCAAAGTCAATTCTACTGTTCAATGCTGTGTTTCCTTTGCCTCAGGTGTTGTCGAGGGCTTTATCTTCTATTTTGGAAAGTAGATGGACTGACATTTGTAGAGAGGTACCGGTTACCATTGTCGACATGCACATCAAGCGCAGCCACGCCGGGGATATCAAGCAACAGCCAATCACTTGAGAGGAAGCTAACAAAGAAAAGAAATCGAGTAATGCATAAGGAAACTGTGACAAAAGTCTTAAATTAATGAGCATATGAAATAAATTGTAAACAAAGGATCCGAGATTACTTCACGAGGTCCAAAAATATGTTTTACGGAAATGACACAGGCGCGCAAATTTTATAAAAATTAACTACAGTTCGTTTCAGCGATTTGTTCAGGTTTATCAATGAGATTACAAGTGGACATTTATTTGAGAAAGGAAAGCATTAGGACTAAATTGAAAACCCACCACCTGAAATAAAGAGACTTAGCATGTAAGCGGGCGGTTAGTAAATCGCCGCGCCGGTTCTGCCTACGTTCTCAGCAGGACCGGTCGTCGCTTCGGTAGTGGTCCCGAGCTGCCTTGCTCATGGCTCACTAGGCCTGTCTCACTCAGGCACTGGCGACCGCATGTGCTACAGCTCCATGCGCTTGATGATGATGGAGTACGACCCACCGTAGCTTGCCGCTTTTTCTCTGCATGCATGAGGGCTTTCTCTTGCACCTCGGCAACTGCCTTCGTGATCAGATCGCGCCATGCACGCCGATCAATCGCCTTCGATTCCCATGATCTGCAATCAAGGTTAGAACGTGTGAGGCTCACTTTAATCATGTCCTGGTAACGTAACTTTGGTTTCCCCACGTGCCGCTTCCCAATACTCAGCTGACCGTATAAAAGTTGTTACGGTATCCGCGTCGAATCCATACGGCTCACATGACCGAGCCATCTCAGGTGTCTTAATAAAAGTATGCAGTCCACTGCATACATCCCACTTGGGCGCTAAACTTCCGTGTCTGCAACTCTGGCGCCCCAGCCGACCCGCAAAATTCGTCGCAGACACTGCTGATGGAACCGCTCGAGATATCGCATATCCCGACGGTACATCGTCCACGTTTCACTGCCGTATAGAAGAACGGACAGTACCATGGATTTGTACACCATCAGCTTCGTGCCAATGGTAAGCTGATGGTTGTTCCACACTCAGGACTCAAGCTTCCCGAATGCCGCCGCTGCCTTCGACACGCGATTACGCAACTCAACGTGTAGCTGCTGATCAGTCGACATCACATTCCCAAGGTAGCAAAAGCGGGAGGTGGTTTCCAATACTTCAGCACCAATGCTGATTCGCGGCAATATTGAAGATTGCACCTCCGGTGAAGGCTGAAAGAGACAGACAGTTTTCCTTGTGTTGATGGTGAGCCCGAATTTGGCCGCTGTCGAAGCCAGAACACTAGTCATGTGCTGCAACTCATCTGCGCTGTGTGCAAACAACGCACAGTCGTCAGCAAACAGCAACATACGGATAGTTATCTCACAGACTATAGTTCTTGCAACGAAACGACGGATGTTCAGCAACCCACCATCAATACGGTGCTCCACACGAACACCGTAAGCCCAAGCAGCATCAAAAGCACAAGACAACATTGCATGAAGATATATATTAAACAGGGCAGGAACTAAGACACAGCCTTGCTTCACACCAGAGACAACTGCAAAGTCATCCGAGGTCTCCACTCAACTGCACCCTCGCTCGCATACCACTGTGCAGACATTCAATTAAACTTACAAAATTACGCAGGCAACCAAAGTTATCCAACACCAGCCACAATGCCTCGCGGTTCACCGTATCAAATGCCTTGGTGAAATCAACAAAAAGCGAGTACAATGGCTGGTGTCGTTCTCTGCACTTCTCTTGCAACTGACGAGCCGCAAACACCATATCTATAGTGCTGCGACCCGAACGGAATCCACATTGCTCTTCCGCCACGTTAGGTTCCACAACCTGACTGACAAGGCGGTTGAGCAGGATTCGGGTAATCACCTTGCGCACACAACTCAGCAAGTTGATGCCACGATAATTCGTGCAACATTGCTTGCGCCCTTTGCCCTTGTACAGTGGTAGCACAAGGGCATCCTTCAGCTCAGTAGGCACCTCCTCCTCAATCC